CTGAGGCTGAGGCTGATGCAGGCCGAGGCTGAGGCAGCCTGAGGCTGAGGCCGAGGCTGAAGGCAGACTGAGGCTGAGGCTGAAGCAGGCTGAGGCTGAGGCTGAGGCAGGCTGAGGCTGAGGCTGAGGCAGGCTGATGCTGAGGCAGGCTGAGGCTGAGGCTGAGGCTGATGCAGGCTGAGGCTGAGGCAGGCTGAGGCTGAGGCCGAGGCTGAAGGCAGACTGAGGCTGAGGCTGAAGCAGGCTGAGGCTGAGGCTGAGGCAGGCTGAGGCTGAGGCTGAGGCAGGCTGATGCTGAGGCAGGCTGAGGAGGCTGAGGCTGATGGGCTGAGGCTGAGGCTGAGGCTGAGGCCGAGGCTGAAGGCAGACTGAGGCTGAGGCTGAAGCAGCTGAGGCTGAGGCTGAGGCAGGCTGAGGCTGAGGCTGAGGCTGAGGCTGATGCTGATGCTGCAGGCTGAGGCTGAGGCTGAGGCTGATGCAGGCTGAGGCTGAGGCAGGCTGAGGCTGAGGCCGAGGCTGAAGGCAGACTGAGGCTGAGGCTGAAGCAGGCTGAGGCTGAGGCTGAGGCAGGCTGAGGCTGAGGCAGGCTGAGGCTGAGGCTGAGGCTGATGGGCTGAGGCTGAGGCAGGCTGAGGCTGAGGCCGAGGCTGAAGGCAGACTGAGGCTGAGGCTGAAGCAGGCTGAGGCTGAGGCTGAGGCAGGCTGAGGCTGAGGCTGAGGCAGGCTGAGGCTGAGGCTGAGGCTGAGGCTGAGCAGGCTGAGGCTGAGGCAGGCTGAGGCTGAGGCCGAGGCTGAAGGCAGACTGAGGCTGAGGCTGAAGCAGGCTGAGGCTGAGGCTGAGGCAGGCTGAGGCTGAGGCTGAGGCAGGCTGATGCTGAGGCAGGCTGAGGCTGAGGCTGAGGCTGAGGCAGGCTGAGGCAGGCTGAGGCTGAGGCCGAGGCTGCAGGCAGACTGAGGCTGATGCAGGAGCAGGCTGAGGCTGAGGCTGAGGCAGGCTGAAGCTGAGGCTGAGGCTGATGCTGAGGCAGGCTGAGGCTGAGGCTGAGGCTAATGCAGGCCACTCTGCGACTGTCATCGCGAATGCGACTACGACTGCGAGAACAGCAGAACTCTACAACTGGATTCTCATCTGAATCTTAAGGGGGATGCTTCCAGATATGCTCCTACACATCGCTGTTAGGTTGCTTTGCCGGGATAATTGTTTTCTCGCCTTTTCGCTCTTGGACCCGTCTTGGGAGCCTCTTGGGCCTCTTGGGGGTCTCTCGGGAGCCTTTTGGAGGCCTCTTGGGCGCCTCTTGGGGCCTCTTGGGGCGCTCTCGGGGCGCTCTTGGGGCGTTCTTGGGAGCCTTCGGGGCGCTCTTGGGGCCATCTTGCAGGATATCGATCAGAGAAGAGGGGGTCCCCAATTAGCGTTGCCCCTCTAGAGTGCCTCGAGTCGCCTCTTGGGCCCCCCAAGAGGCCAAAATCCTTCCAAAACCTAGATAAAATCAATGTTTTCTGTTTTCTCGCCTTTTCGCTCTTGGAGCCGTCTTGGGCCATCTTGGACTCTCTTGGGGCCTCTTGGGGGTCTCTTGGCAGCCTCTTGGAGGCTTCTTGGGGGCCTCTTGGGGTCTCTTGGGGCCCTCTTGGGGCGCTCTTGGGGCGCTCTTGGGAGCCTTCGGGGCGCTCTTTGGGCCATCTTGGAGGAGATCTATCAAAGAAGGGGGGGGTGCTTATTAGCCCCGCCCCTCCAGAGTGCCTCGAGTCGCCTCTTGGGCCCCCCCAAGATGCCAAAATCCTTCCAAAACCTAGGTAAAATCAATGTTTTGTGTTTTCTCGCCTGTTCGCTCTTGGAGCTGTCTTGGGCCATCTTGGACGCTCTGACACCTCGCGACCGGCCCCGTCCAGGTCAGTGGGGAGGGGTAAGGGGAGGGGTAAACCCCTCCCCGAAGGGGAAGAAGGGGGTTGGCAGAGGAAACTCCCTAGACCACCTACGCCCTAAAGGGCTGGTGGGATTTCCACGTGACAGGGCTCACATGCGCCCCCCAATCCCTTTCGGCAAACCCCTCACACGGTTCGTGGCCCCACAGGAAGCACCGAAGTCGCTTGTGGAAGGGTCGGTGCGCATCCCCCAGCCCAGTTCGGCACAACCTTCACACGCTTCGCGGCCCCCATCCGAATGTTCCGTGCCCCATCTTTCCCGCGGCGCGCTATCGTACATTGCGTGATATGCGAGAGCTGGCGCAGTGCGCCCCCGAAAAAGTGCCGACGCTCTGACGCTGTTTGAGGAGTCAGTAGCGTGAGAAGCGTCAGGAACGTCAGGAGTGTCAGGAGCGTCAGGAGCGCCAGAACGTCAGGAGCGTCAGGAGCGTCAGGAGCGCCAGAGCGTCAGCAGCGTCAGAAGCGTTAGGAGCGCCGGAGCGTCAAGAGCGTCAGGAGAGCCAGGAGCGCCAGCGGCGTCCACAACTCGGGCGCCGCCGCTCGAGACATCCTCACAACTCGAGCTCCGCCGCTCGAGACATCCTCAGAACTCGGGCGTCACCGCTCGAGGTAACAGTAGCACGACGTGGAAACGCGCCCGCGGAGGAGGATCCCGAGGAGGGAGGAAGGGTGACGAGGAGGGTCATGCAAGAGGGAAAGTCGAAGGAACGCGGAAGAGAAGGGTGAGGAGGAGGAAGATAGGCATGGCGATGATGATGTTGATGATGTTGCTGCTAATGATGATGGTGCTGATGATGATAATGAGGTTAAAGGTGGCGATTAAGATGACGACGACGACGATGATGATGTTGATGCTGCTGATGATGATGGTTATGGCGAGGATGAGGATGAGGATGAGGATGAGGATGAGGATGAGGATGATGATGATGATGATGATGATGATGGTGGTGGTGGTGGTGGTGGTGGTGGTGGTGATGATGATGATGATGATGATGATGGTGGTGGCGTTGTTAGTGGTGATGGTGCTGCTGATGATGATGATCATCATGTCGATCATGCTGATGCTGAGGCTGATGATCATGCTCATGCTTATACTAGTGCTGATGATGCTGATGACGATGACGATGACGATGATAATGATGATGATGATGATGATGATGATGATGATGATGATGATGACGATGTTGCTGCTGATGATGATGTTGCTGATGATGATGCTGATGCTGATGCCGGCGCTGGTGCTGATGCTGATGAGGATGAGGTCGAGGATGATGCTGCAGCTGATGAGGATGCTGCTGATGATGATGATGCTTATGATGCTGATGCGGCTGATGATGATGGCGGTATGATGACGATGACGATGATGATGATGATGATGATGATGATGATGCTGATGAGGATGATGATGAGGATGATGATGCTGCAGCTGATGAGGATGATGCTTATGATGCTGATGCGGCTGATGATGATGGTGGGATGATGTCGATGATGATCATGGTGATGATGATGCTGATGATGATGATGATGCTGATGATGCTGCTGCTGCTGATGACGATGCTGAGGATCTGTATAATAATAATAATACTGATGATATGATGATGATGATGATGATGATGATGATGATGATGATGATGATGATGATGATGGTGATGGTGGATGGTGATGATGATGATGATGATGATGATGATGATGATGATGATGATGATGATGATGATGATGATGATGATGATGATGATGATGATGAGCGTGATGCGCAGGCGGAGGAGGAGGAGGACGAGGAGGAGGAGACAAATGCTACCAAGGAGGAGTAAGTGGAGCTGCAGCAGGACAACGCTTGTGATATGGAGAAGGATGTCAGCAAGACGTGGTGGTGCAAGAAGCATGATGAAGAAAGAGGAGAGGCAGCAGAAGGAGGGATGATGTGACTGCCCCCTTGCCTGTCTGCCTGTCTGCCCCTCCGGCTCTCTCAGCCTGGTGGAAGCCTCGAGCGGCGGCGCCCGAGTTGTGAGGATGTCTCGGGCGGCGGCGCCCGAGTTGTGGACGCCTCTGGCGCTCCTGGCGCTCCGCTCCTGACGCTCCCGACGCTCTTGACGCCCCTGGCGCTCCTGCCGCTCCTGACACTCCCGACGCTCCTGACGCCCCTGGCGCCCCTGGCGCTTTTGACGCTCCCGACGCTCCTGACGCCCTTGATGCTCTTGACGCCTGGAGCATCAGGAGCGTCGGGGGCGTTAGGAGCGCCAGAAGCGTCAGGAGCGCCAGAATCGTCAGGAGCGTCAGGAGCGTCAGAGCGTCAGGAGCGGCAGGAGCGTCGGGGGCGTCATGAACGTCAACTGCGTCAGGGGCGTCGGGGGCGTCGTCTGGGGCGTCAAAAGCGTCAGAGCTCCAGTGCTTTGGGGGCCACTGCTGTGTCACCACTCTGACTTGCAGCAGTATATGATGGAGTCTGTCGCCAGGCTATGTCTTCATAGTTTGTTGTATAATCCGAGTGTTCTCGGTGTTTCAAACTGGTGTTCCAGTTGCAGAGTGGGCCTCATGTCCATACCGACGCTGTGCCCCCGTCGTTCAGAATGTCGCTCTCGCCCCAGCGCGGGCTACTTACGCGGATCCGAATCCTCTTTCATCGTTGTCGCCCCCCCCATTGCCCCTCCTCCGCCTGCCCCTGGTCTTCCTGCTCCTCCCACCCATTCCACTCAAATTCCTGCTCTTGCTGCTGCTGTTCGTCCTCGTGTGCCTTCTTCCTTATCCTCCAGTTTCTCCTGCTCATCCCCCTGCTCGCCCGCCACCTCCTCATCCTCCTACCATGTACGCAGCCCCCTTTTTCCGATTGCGCAAGATACGATGGATTTTTTTAGAGTCCAGGTCGGCTATGACACGCGTCCGCGAATAGAGAAGCAACACGTGCAATGGTAAGAGATAGGAGGGAGGCACAGGATGTCAGGTATGGCGCGAGCGCACGTAGCTTGACCGCTCACCACTCTCATTCTCCCCTGCGCTTCTCCACCCTGTATTCCTCGAACTTCTGTGCTCGACGTGTCTACCTTCAAACTTGCACTCTTGTCGATCTGCATGCGTTTCGTCAGGTATTGCGAGGGGGGAGAAGTTTTCGATCGCATCATGGACAACGGGCTCATTTCGGAGTCGTCCACAGCGGACTGCTCCTCTCCTTTTTGGTGCGGCACTCTGTGAAATTGTGCACCGACAAGCCTTCATTGCTTCAAGAGGCTTACGCCATTCCGCCGACCCCCAAGGAGGCGCTCGCCAGATTCTGTGTGGGAGAGGCACAAACCTCCCGAACAGAAGCACTCTACAGTTAACCCGCATAGCAAGCATGGGCAACCTTCCCAAGGGTACCCTTGCATCCTTCCCCCTCGACCCATCCTTGGCAGCTTTCGCTGGCCGCGCCCCGCTCGCAGAGTGTCGGCAGCGCCATCCGATGCGCTTGCATCCCTGTCGCCCGTCCTGATGATACGGGGTGACTGTAAGTGTGACGCGTCGCATCACACAATGACCCCGGATCCGGTGTAGGGTTTCTTGGGGGCTTTCATAAGCCTTTCGGGGCCTCCTCGAGTGCCTCTTGGGATCGTCAGGGGTCTTTCTTGGGGGTTCGTTGTGGGCCTCGTGGGGGAATGTGCGGGCCATCTTGTGTCAGAGGGCCCCTTAGGCCTCCTTGAGTTCCTCTTCTTGGGCCCCTATGTGCAGCTCTCTTGAGTGGGGCAGGAGGAGGGGGAGGGGGAGGTCGAGGAGGAGGAGGAGAAGGAGGAGGAGGTCGTCAGCATCGACCGATACAACCCAGACACGGTTCTCACTACTTTCGGCGTGGTGGACAGTCAGCGCGATGATTTGCCTCTTCCGCTCCAGGCCAGTGGTTCATTCGACACTGACACTCGGGTGTGCCGATGCAGTCCCCACTAGGTCTGCTTGGCCGGTGTGAATGTTGCAGAATACCTCTGCTTGCTCCTGGACGTCGAATAGTTATCCTGACCAGACGCGCTGGGAATGAGTTGCCGTGCGCATGTGGTTTGCCATTGGAAATTTTGACGAAATGGCGTTTGGCCAAAGAACCCCGCGGCCGTTTCCTCCTTCCTTTTTTTTCCCGCGCTTGCCGCCGGACAAACAGCGATGTTGTCTCCCGGCTTGCCCGAGCAGGCGTGCGGACTGTTGATGCCGCGCTGCGACGTAAAACAATGATGGCTTAAGGAATGTGTTGTCAATCCTCGAAAGGGTGGTGTGGTGGAGGAAAAGGAGGAGGTCCAGAAGGAAGAGGAGGAGGAGGAGGAGGAGGAGGAGGAGGAGGAGGAGGAGGAAGAAGAAGAGGAGAGGGAGGAGGGAGGACGAGGAGGGCGGAGGAGGGAGGGAGAGGGGTAGGGAGGAGGGAGGAGGGAGGAGACAGGAGGGAGGAGGGAGGAGGAGGAGGAGGAGGAGGAGGAGGAGGAGGAGGAGGAGGAGGAGGAGGAAGAGGAGGGACTGGACGATAGGGAGGGTCTGATTCTGGCGGTCCCGCAGTCCTCCTGCGCCTCCTCGCCGCACCGCGCTCCCAGGCTATCGGGCAGCACCAAGGGGGGTCACCACTGGGAGGGTCACCTCGGCATCACCGAAAGAACGTGTTCTACCGCTGCTCGCGGAAAACGGGGGGGGTCACCGGTTCGAACCCCCCCCCCTCCAGAAAACCAGGGGGGTCCACTACCGGTTCGAACCCCTCCCCCGCCCCCAGTCCATCATGGGGGTCACTACCCGTTCGAACCCCCCCCCTTCGAAAACCAGGGGGGTTCACTGCCGGTTCGGACCCCCCCCCTCCCCTCCACTTCGAAAACCGGGAGGGGGTCACTACTGGTTCGATCCCCCCCTTCGCCGCCGGCAAACGATGCCCGCTCCTCGGGACAGATGGAGAATGCTGGGGATGGTGGGACAGTGGTGGGGACGGTGGTGGTGGGGACAGTGGTGTGGGGACAGTGGGACAGTGGTGCGGACAGTGGTGGGGACGGTGGTGGGGGGGACAGTGGTGAGGGGACAGCGGGACAGTGGTGGGGACAGTGGGACAGTGGTGGGGACGGTAGTGGCGATGGTGATGACAGTGGTGGGACAGTCGTACAGTGGGGAAAGTGGTGGGGACAGTGGGGTCAGTGGGACAGTGGTGGGGACAGTGGGGACGGTGGGACAGCACAGTGGGGACAGCGGCGGGGACAGTGGGACAGTGGTGGGAACAGTGGGGACAGTAGGACAGTGGTGGGGACCGTGGGGAAAGTGAGGAGAGTGGTGGGACAGTGGAGGGTACAGTGGTGGTGGCGACAGTGGTGAGGGCGGTGGCGAGGACGGCGGTGGGATAATGGGACAGAGGTACAGTAGGGACAGTGGTGGGGACAGTGGGGACAGTGGTGAGAACAGAGGGACAGCTCAGTGGGACAGCGGCGGGGACAGTGGGACAGTGGGGACAGTGGGACAGTGGTTGGGGCCGTGGAGAAAGTGGGGGGAGTGGAACCGTGGTGGGAACAGTGGTGGGGACAGTGGGGACAGTGCGACAGTGAGTGGGGGCACTGGTGAGGACAGTAGTGACGGTGGTGGGAACAGCGGGAACAACGGGGACAGTAGTGGTGAGGACAGTGGTGCTGGGGACAGCAGTGGGGGTTGTGGGTGTTAGGGACCGGGAGTCGTTTGCTGGCGGTGAGCGTGGGGTGGGGGGGGGAGGGGTTCGAACCGGTAGTGACCCCCCCCGGTTTTCGAGGGGGGGGGGGTTCGAATCGGTAGTGACCCCCCTGGTTTTCCGTGGGGGGGGAGGCGGAGGGGTTAGAACCGGTAGTGACCCCCCTCGGTTTTCGAGAGGGGGGGGGGTCGAACCGGTAGTGACCCCCCCCCCGGTTTTCCGGGGAAGGGGGTTCGAACCGGTATAGTGACCTCTGTGACCCCCCCCGGTTTTCCGGGGGGGGGGGGGGTCGAACCGGTAGTGACCTCTCTCTGGTTTTCTGTTTTGGGGGGGGGGGGGGGAGGGGTTCGAACCGGTAGTGACTCCCATCGGTTTTCTGGGGGGGGAGGTTCGAACCGGCAGTGACCCCCCCCCCCCCGCAGTTTTGGGGGGGGAGGTTCGAACTGGCAGTGACCCCCCCCCAGTTTTCTCCGGAGAGAGGGGGGTTAGGGGAGTGGCTGGTGGGGGGTTGTGCCGGGGGAAGGGGGGGGGTCCAGCAGGGGGAGGGGGGATTTTCGGAGGGGTGGGGGGGACCTCCGGGCTCCAGAGGAAGAGGGGGGGGGAATTTTCCACAGTAAAGCGGCGGTGAATCACGCTCTCTCGCATCACCCCAATAGTAATATTCGGGTGTCTATGCACGCGTCGCCCCCCCAGGGGCGACGCGCGCACTGAGAAATCTTACGGTATATGCCCCGTGGCGGATGTTTTCTGGCCACACCGCTCGGACAAAGATATATTACAAGATGGGCATACTAGATGCTCCAGTCGGACGCACGCCTCCAAGTATGACGCATCGTGCCAGTATGTCCGTGTGCGCCCAATGTCAAATCTCGAGGAGATTTTCGGACGCCTGGGGTCGTTTGTGTGGGCTTTGCAGTGTTTTGGGAGGCCCGCTTCCTCGAGGAGCTGCTGGCTCCTCGGTGATTCGGCGGCGCCCCTAGTGGCGCCCCCCCTTGGCATTGCCCCAGACGTCTCCACGAGCGTGAACCTTTCGGGTTCGGAGGGGGGTATGGTTCCTCGCGTCCTTCTTGTGCCGCTTTCTCGAACGATCCCAGCACATCTGGGCACATCTGGGGCCCCAAAGGGTTTTTTGTTTTGTTTTGTGGTTACGTATAACTAGCTAGACGTTGGCTGTGCCGCGTTTCCAGGGCGTTCGTTTATGATCTCGCGTCCTCGTTTTGCCATGTGTAGCTACTATCACTGAAACTTGTTTGGCCACCCTGAGAAGCGCAATCGGTACTGTAACGGTGGTCCGCTCTAGCACTCGGTTTCTCAGGGGTGGTAGACATGGGAAAGAGCGCGGTCTGTGGTCGCTTGGAGGGGGTGGTGGGGGTTCGAACCCGCCCCCGAATACCCCCTCCCTCCCCTGCTTCCCCTCTCCTCGGGCCGGCGCTTGCGTCGGCGGCGGCTGGCGGCGGCGGCGGGGACGACGATGTCTTTTTGTGGGCCGGCGCCGGCGCCTGCGGCGGCGGGCGGCGGCGGCGGGGAGCGTCGACGAGGACGACGGTGATAGTGGTGGTGGTGGTGGTGGGTTGTGGTGGTGGTGGTGGTGGCGGTGGTGGTGATTGTGGTGGTGGTGGTGTGGGGGGGTTGTGGTGGTGGTGGTTGTGGTGGTTTGTGGTGGTGGTGGTGGTGATGGCTTGGTGGTGGTGTGGTGGTGGTTTGTGGTGGTGGTGGTGGGTTGTGGTTGCGGTGGTGGTTATGTGGTGGTGTGGTGGTGGTTTATGGTGGTGGTGTTGGTGGGTTGGGGTGGTGGCGGTGGTTTGTGGAGGTCGTGCTGGTGGTGGTGGTTGTGGCGGTGATGGTGGTGGGTTTTGGTGGTGGTGTGGTGGTCTGCGGTGGTGGTGATGGGTTGTGCTGCCGGTAGTGGTGCTGGTGGTTGTAGCGGTGGTGGTGGTGTGGTAGATTGTGGTGGTGGTGGTGGCGGTGGTGTGTTTTCGCGGTGGTGGTGGTGATGGTGAGTTGTGGTTGTGGTGGCGTTTGTGGTGGCTGTGGTGGTGGTGTGGTGGTGGTTTGCGGTGGTGGTGGTGGGTTGTGGTGGTGGCGGTGGTTCGTGGAGGTGGTGCTGGTGGTGGTGGTGGTGGTGGCGGTGGTGGTGTGGTGGTTTGTTGTGGTTTGTTGTGGTGGCTGTGGGTCGTGCTGCTGGCAGTGGCGGTGGTTGTGGCGGTGGTAGTGGTGGTGGTGTGGTAGATTGGTGGTGGTGGTAGTGATGGTGGTGGGTTTTTGTGGTGGTGGTGGTGGTGGTTGTGATGGTGAGTTGTGGTGGTGGTGGTGGTTGTGGTGGTGGTGGCTGTGGTTGTGGTGATGGTGGTTGTGTGGTGGGTTGGTGGTGGTGGTTATGGTGGGTTGAGGCGGCGGTGGTGGTAGTGGTGGTGGTGGTGGAAGTGGTGGTAATCGTCGCTGCGTCCCCGCCGGCGCCGGCGCCAGCGCCGGCGCAGCTGGCCGCTGCCAGCGCCGGCGCCAGCGCCAGGGTGGGGGAGGTTGAAACCCCGCCCCCCCTCCCTTGGGCTGCCTCTGGTCATTGTCGCTGCGTCCACGCCGTCGGCGCTGCTGGTGGCCGCCAGCGCTGGCGCCGGCGCCGAGGGGGGGGGGTCGGGAGGGGGTGGGTTGGGGGGGAGGGGAGTCTTGGTTTTGATCGACGGCGCCGGGTGTTGCGGGGGGGGGGGCCCGCCCCCCTTTTCGAAACGCGCCGCCGATTGTTCCAAAGGCGAGCGCCCGTGAAATGCGGTCTCTCAGACATGGATGTGTCATGCTGCAGCCGAATCCGTACAGACCCTCGCACATACGCGCATCGGGAGCTGCATGTGTGCACAGTCATTGCTTTCGGGCTTGTAGCTGCGCGCGAAGCGGACCTCCCTGGTAACGGACACTGTCGCGAATCGTTTTCGAACGGGCTCCAAGCACCCCCGCGAGAAGGCGAGGGAGCTGCGTGCGCGAGCGCGCGCGTGCGCGAGCTTCCTGGGCGCACTCCCTCTGGCCGCACGTTCCCAATGATGGTCGATCGATGGTCGAGGAGGAGGAGGAGGAGGAGGAAGAGGAGGAGGAGGAGGAGGAGGAGGTCGAGCGGGGCTGAGACGAGGATCGAGCCGTTCTGGAGCGTGCCGGAACGCCTGAGAGGGCCGCGGCGCCCGAGAGAATTCCAGAACCGCCATATCTCCGATGTTTCCGATTTTTCCTGGCCCGATGTTATCTTCGTCCATGCCTCGTCTCGGGAGCAGGACCGAAGAGGATCGATGAGCATGAAGAGAAGGACGTTCCTGGCAACGGGCGTGTTCGCGGCTCGTCTCGACACGCGCTCCACGCATCCCCGCGGGAGGGCGCGCGAGCGCCCCGCGGGCGCGCTCCCCCAGGGCATCGCCAGGCAATGCGCGGGCGCCCTGAAGTGCCGCCGCCCACCCCCCCCTTCGGGGAAGCGCGAGGCTCGAGCTCGTGTCGTGCCGACGCTGCTCGACGGACCCGTCCCCGATTTTGACGGGCCCGTCCTCGTGGGACGTTTGCAGCGGGAGCTCGCGTCAAGTTCCAGGCTGGGCCTCGCCGTTTTCCTGGCGGCCCCGTCGGGCCAGCACGAGTACCCCGGACCCGAGTCTTGCGTCTCCCCGACCCCTGCCCCGCTCGGCTCCTCGGGACGGTGGCCCCCCTGGCCGAGCGCCCCCCCGGGCCATCTGCTTGAGCCACAGCCAAGCCAGTTTTTGATTCGGCCGGCCCGGCAGGCCCGGCCCGGCACCCCATCGCAAGGCAGTGGGACGGAGGGGAGCAGTCCCATAAGTCGGGGGCGGAAAAGAGGGGGGTGATGACTAGGGGGGGGTGGATATCATGGCGGGGGCCATGATATTTCCCCAGATTTCACGGCGCCTCTTCTTATTTCATTACGTCCCTGGCCTCCCCGCTGGGCCGCGCACATGCCGCTGGTCATGATTTGCACCCCCCCCTCTTGGACACCCCCCTCTTGGCCGCTCCCGAATAAGCGTTCGCGTCGTGACAAAAGTCATGGCGGACGGTCTGCTGCCGGTCGGGGTCTTTGGAGCCGCCGCCGGGCGCTGGGACCGTCCACAAACGACTCGGGATGAAGAGCCCGTTCTTGGGAATGGGTCGAGGCCACTGGGGTCGACGCTGTGAAACATCATGGCATCGGGGTTGGAGACCGTATCTTCAGAGGAGGGGCTAAGCGAAAGGGGGGGTCCGCCAAAACACTAAGGCGGAACAACTAATGAAAGCAACCTAATCGTGGCTTGGTGAGTGTTTCCCATGCAACGCCACAGGGCTGATCCAATCGAGCAAATTGCGGTCATACCAAAAATGACTGACCTTCACCTCGACGTTACGGGAACGGCCAAGCCTGGCGCATGATCTAATAGTGATATGTGCCCAGGCCTCGCATCCCCAGACCAGGGTCCGTCTGCAATATCGCAGGAACATGATCATTTGGTTGCCATTTCAACGTGCTTTGTTACCCTGAGGCACTCCTCGGAATCATAGTTGATTTTGTTGTTCTTTCAAGTTGAAAGCGCTCGCAGATAATCACGAACGTTGACCTGTCGGCAATGCCGATCCCCATAGATCTCGACTCTACTGGGCGTCTGACCAGTGGGAGCTCTCAGGGGGCAGACACTTTGAGGGAAACTACCCTCACTAATTTTTCTGTCGTCAAAATGACCTCGTCGACTGTCATCATGAAGAGGGCTCCCGCCGGAGACTGCAACAAGCTGGGAATCGTCAGAATGTCCTGGGGAGCTGTCAGAACGCCTGGGGTATCGTCAGAATGGTCTGGGGGGACCGTCGGAATGCCCTGGGGGCCAGGCAGAACAATTCTGGGCTTGTGATTCCCGCGCATTTGGAGGTCCACTGCCGTTTCCCAGCCGTCAAAATGCCCGATCGGGGGTGGACACGAGAGAGAGAACGCGCGGGCGAAACCTTAGGTTCCCCTCTCCTCCTTCCTCCCTCCACCCCGCACCTCCATCCAGCCCCCCCCCGCTCCTCCATCCTCGCTCGCCCGTCCTCCCTCCTTCGTCCTCCCCTCTCCCATCATCCCTTGTCGTCGTCGTCCCTCCTTCCCTCCCTCCGCCCTCCCTGGTCATCCCTCCTCATTCCTAAATTCTTCATGGGCTGGGAGGGAGAGACAGAGAGCGGTCTGCTGACCGGCCACATGGGCCTGGCCTTTTGCGGCGCCAGAGAACGGCGCCTGGGCAGACCGAGCGGGAAATGACAGCATGGCGCACTGAAGCAAGTGCCGGCTAAACAGGAGGAGGAAGAGGAGGAGGAGGAGGAGGAGGAGGAGGAGGAGGAGGGATGATGTTGGGGGGAGGGAGCATGACCGAGAAAGTAGAGAAGGAGGGGGAGGGAGGAGGAGGAGGAGGAGGAGGAGGAGGAGGAGGAGGAGGAGGAGAAGGAGTAACGCGGAGGATCTCGAGGTGCTTCCTGCACTCCTTCTCCCCCTCGCCTCGAGCCCTCCATATCCTGCCTCCTGCTGGCCCCCCCAGGGGCCGCCCCGCGCCCCGCCAGCCCCCGCCCGGAGGTACGCCCACTCGCACGGCATTGCCCACAGGGACATGAAGCCGGAGAACATCTGCCCCGCCAGCCGCGCTTTACCCCCGCGCGCGCGGGCGTTCGGCCGTGCGCGCGGCCGGGGGAAGGGGGGCGGAGGGGGGCGGCGGAGGGTTTGGACGCCCGAAATGGGTACTGAAAGAATGGGCACGATGCCCAACAACAATTCCTGTTCATTTTCAACAGGATTCGCTGTCCACGCCGCCGCGGCCTGTGTCCATTCGAGACAGAAGGCCGCCTGCCCAACAGCGGCCGCTGTTGGCTTGGGACAACATTTGTTGTTGGGCATAGTGCCCATTCTTTCCGTGCCCATCTCGGGTGTCCAAAGAGGGGGGCGGCGGAGGACGGCAGAGGACGGAAGAGGGCCGCAGGATTCGCGCGCGCCCCAGCGCACGCAAGCAGGCGTGGCGGATTCGCTGGGGTTTCACCCTCTAGGTCTCCTATAGATGGGGTCCGAGTGCCTGGGGTCGGAGGATCGCGCCGCATCGCCGATGCCCGATGCATCGTCGATGCATCGTCGATGCATCGGCGATGCGGCTCGATGTGTAGCCCAATTTGCTTCACGTCGACGTCGCCGATGTATTACCCACGTCGACGATGCATCGCTGGTGGCTGGCATCGCCGATGCATCGGCGATGCGGCGCGATCCTCTGACCCCACCTACTCCGACCCCATCTGGGAGGCTAGTGGGGGCGCCGTCCTCACGACCGGCTACGAGGACCGATGAGCATTGCGGAACATCACGCCTCCTCTCCCTTCCCCCTTCCCCCCTCCCTCCTCCCTCCTTCGTCGTGGAGGAGGAGGGGCAGCGGCAGGGGCAGAGGCAGGGGGAGGGGGAGGAGGAAGAGGAGGAGGAGGAGGAGGAGGAGGAGGAGGAGGAGGAGGGAGGAGGGAGGAGGAGGAGGGAGGAGGGGGATGGAGGATGGAGGAAGGGTGGAGGAGAGGAGAAGGAGGAGGAGGAGGAGGAGGATGAGGAGGAGGAGGAGGAGGAGGAGGAATGGGGAATGGAGCATGGAGGAGGTTTGGGCATGGTTGAGCGGCGGGCCCTCGGGGGCGGGCGCCAGTCTGGCCGTTCTCGTGTCCCGCGGCGGCGCGCCCGCCCGCCCGACGTCGGCTCCGCTGCGGTTGCCGGGGCTCTCGCAACGGGCCTCCAGGGCCGTCTTGGGGCGATCGTTGGGGCCTTGTGGGCCGTGTTTCTGGGCCTCCCAGATGGGATCAGAGTAGGTGGGTTCGGAGGATCGCGCCGCATCGTCGATGCATCGGCGATGCGGCTCGATGCGGAGCTCGATTTTCTTCGCGCTGGCGTCGCCGATGCATCGCCGACATCGCCGATGCATCGCCGGTGCATCGCCGATACATCGCCGATGGATTGGCGATGCGGCGCGATTTTCTGGGGGTCAATACAAACGGGGGTCAGTCAGAGCGCCAGATCTTGCAGAGGGCCAGGGTCGCATTGACCCAGGTTTGAGTGCAAATCCTGCAGGAACCTGCAGGATCTTGCAGAATCCTGCAAGGCCTGGCTGACTCGGGTCTGGATTGACTCGGGCCAGTGAGTCCCTGATGTTGGTGCTATCGCAACGGGCCTCCAGGGCCGTCTTGGGGCGATCGTTGTGGCCCCTTTGGTCGTCGTGGGCTGTTATTGGCCCGGAAATGCGCGCACCTCAAAAGCATTCCAAAACCTTGGGAGATCAATGTGTTTGTCGTCCCCAGGCCCTCTTGAGAGTCCTCTGGAGGCTCTCTTGGCCCGTCTTGGGACCCTCTCGGACTGTTTTGAGGTCGTCGTAGGCCCAGCGCTAACAGGGGTCAGCCAATCCTCTCTGGGCGACCCAGGTTTGGGAGCCACGTGGGGCCGAGTTCCCCTGTCTGCCCTCCGCTGACACGGTTCTGGGACCTGCTGAGCGGTTGGCCTGGCTTGGCGACAGAGCCTGGGCTGGGGTGGGTTTGCGCTGACCCGGGCTTGTACGTTCCCGAGGATCCACGCGGTGCGGTGGCGCCGAAAGTTGGGGGGGATTGCTCAGGTGTTCACGAGCGACGGAGACATTTCTGGGCCTCCCAGAAGCAGGGCCCATGTCGATCCGGTCGGTACGGTGCGGTGTCGATTCTAGCAGGCCCGATTTGATTCAGGTCCGATGCGGCCCGATGCGTGCATGGTGCTGTTGTGCATCCTAGCGCGGCCGATCCAATTCGAGTCCGTGCCGATGCAGCCCTATCCGACGCACTTCCTGATTCTATCCAGTTTCCCGTTTCGGTAACGACTGATCTTGCAAATGGTCCCGAGTCGATGGGGTCAGGGGTTGCGGCTCGCAGGCTGGAGTGGTAAGGCTCTTCAGCAGGCAAGCAGCATCTGGTCGACTCTACTTTGGGCGCGGCTTTGGACTATCGCATCGCCGATTCGTCGGCGATGCGATTCGCTTTGGAGCCCGAATTTCTCCACGCCGATGGTGCCGATGCATCGCCGAGGTCGCCGATGCATCGCCGATGCATGGCCGATGCATTGGCGATGCATTGGCGATGCGGTTCGGTCCTCTGGCCCCATGTACTCGAACTCCATGTGGGAGGCCCCCAGCATTAGATCCATATCCAAGTTCTCGCGGTCTGGGTTCCGAGGCGCGACATTATGGGTACAGGATCACATTATAATTACGCCAGGTTCGAGTTGTGGTGGGGTGCTGCCGCCGGCGTTCAACGTTGAGCTCCGCCGGCGGCCCACAATCGGTCGATGTTAAACGATCTGACATTTCGGAAACGGCCGATCTGTCGAGGCTGAGCGATCCCCGCGGTGTCACAAACCTACGCCAGGATAGATAGACACGACACGAACCTGCCGTACGTTCCGCGCGAGGCTTCCGCGCCATAGGGTCGCGGCCGAGGAGTCGAGGAGTCCGGACCGCAAGCCCGTGGCAAATTATTGCAAGCCTGAGGCTCGTTCCAGGAGTTTTTCAACTGGGTCAGTTTGAGTTCGTTTAGGAAGACCCCTTGAGGACCCCCCGACCAGGGGTGAAGGTTCTCTCATACCTATACGACAACCTTAGGGTGATAAGGAGGTTGGTGGGAAGGATAACCCACTGACAACACCTGCGCTGACTCTGATGGCGACGATCTGGCGACATTGCACGGTGACGCTCATGGTAAATGCATAGTGGTGATTGTAATAAAAGCGACACAACCGCGGTGGAGCTCACGCCACATAAATGCGACCTCGCGTTCGACTCCAATCGACTGATCCTACTACCGGTTTCACTATCGAACTTAGTATCGATCTCATAATCGGTCTCAGTATCGATCGGACGATCGGTCTTATAATATACTTCATTCATTATCTATATATGTATATATATATGTATATATATATATTCTAATGGATCTCTGAGCAGATTTCACTATCGATCTCATAGCGAGTGGCGTTGATTACGATCGGGACACGAGCGGGGCAATCTCGGGACATTCTCGGAAGACTGGCGGGCCGAATAAATGCCACCACAACGGACAGTACTGTATCACAACAAGTCACATTATCGATCTGACTGTCGATATCACACCAGATCTCACGATCGATCTCGCAACGAATTTGACAATCGATCTCATCATCAATCTTCCAATATTGTTTGACATCGATCGTGCTATCAATCTCAATATCGATTTTACGGTTCTGCCCAATAGCGATATCACAAGAGATCTCAATATCGATCGCACAAGAGATCTCACGAGACCATCGGGGCACCACGATGGGGCATCCCTGGCTAGGGCTGGGCACCCCCCGCAGAAATTCTGTTGTGATCGATATCGCTGTCGATCTCACCATCGATCTCACTGCCAACCTTCTGACCGAGCTACCATCGAGACACCACGGCGGGACACCCAGACCCACCGTCGGGACACCCCGCGCCACCGACAGGGCACCCCGCGCCACCGACGGGGACCCACGTGCCACCGACGGGGCACCTGGGCACCGGCGCGCCCAGCGGGTGAGGGTTGCGGTCAAACGGGATCACGGCCCTCTAGCCGCGGCGGCATCATTTCTCTCGCGCGCCCGCGCAGCTTCGCCTCGCCGAAACGATTATTTGGTGGGGGGCTCCCGTTACCATTGTGATTTCACCCCCCAACCTCGGACTTACATTTGTTTCGGATGGTCCCTTCGAGCATCTGCTCGACCCCCTTCCCCTGCCCAGACCCTTCAGTGAGGACCGTCTGCCCGCTAAATTGTAGTAGTTCGAGGGGGCCCCTTTGGCCTTACCGCACGCGCTGGTAGCATCATAGTATTCCTTTCACTTGCATCATGTGAAGGTAAGCTACTCTTGCTGATCAGGAAGATGTCATAAGGTTTCGCGTCTCGACGAGTATCGCCCTGTGCTACTACCCGTTGCACTCGTCGCGGAGCAATTTTATCCTGGCCCCACAGCAGCTTGAGAATGTGGCAACAGGACAATACACTGAACTTGCTATGAAGAAACTGCTTCACCGACCGGCCAAAGAGCGCGAGTGGAAGACACCTCGAGACAAGAACCGCAGCCCACAATGATGGCGCAGATACCAGCAAGAAGTTCGCTGACTCGTCAGGGGTATAACGATCGACGAGAAAGCGCACGCAGAGTCACGATTCGCCAAGGACCTCACTATCGAGGGGGACCCCGATCATTCCGAGTGGTAAGGTGACGCAGACGAGTTCTCCGATATGCTAGGCTCCGCACCACTGGCCAGACAACGGATGGCAAGAGCAGTGGAAACCGTGTTCTTGTTTACGCAGTGCAAAAAGGAACATGGGCGAAACGATGGGAGAGATCTTTGTGCATGAAAGCGCGCTACGCGAGGAGTGCGAGGAGGCCATCGATAGGCTCTACGAGGAGGAGTTCTCGGAGACGGCGACAGGCATCCCCGGGCGCCCGATCTGGCCGTGGCGTCCGACTGGTATGAGAAGAAATACGACTTTGACGAGCACCAAGAGGAATAATATTATAATCCGAGCCATCACCACAGCCATTGGGGCGAGAAAGGGGAGCAACGATGGAGCGAGAATCCGAGCGGGG